AAAAAAAAAAAAAAAAAAAAATAAAAAAAAAAAAAAAAAAAAAAAAAAAAAAAAAATAAAAAAATTTAAATAAAAAAAAATAAAAAAAAAAAAAAAAAAAAAAAAAAAAAAAAAAAAAAAAAAACATAAATACAAACTAAATTATAATAAATTTTTAAAAGTTTAATATTAATTTTGTAAATATTTCAATTAAATTATTATAGATTAATATTTTTTATAAACAATAATTAAGTTAATAAATCAATATAAACTTAAAACTTATAAAACTAAAGAAGTATTTAAATTTGATTAACTATATAATAAAAAGTATATATTGTATATTATAATAACAAATGATTCATTGCATTTACTATAGTCACAAGTAATTTTTACTTTTTTAGGATTTTTTTTTAAATATTCATTAAATAAAGTCAAAATTAAATGTTTTTTTAATATTTTGAAAATTGGAAAATAGTAATATAAAGTGGTAAAGTTGTAATTGATATATTAAATAGTTTTAAATAGTAATATAATACAAGTATAATATGATGAATAATATATAATATAATATAATATATAACTCTGAATTATAATATAATATAAAAAATAATAATATAATATTGTATACAGACTCAAATTATATTAAACAATATAAATAATTTTATTTAAATATTCCTTTAATTTAATATTTTTTTTCTAATATCTAAAATGTTTGAACAAAAAAAATTATCTAGATATGTTTTTTAACTTTACAACCTTTCTTGCTATAGCAAACTTCCTTTATATCAACTGCATCAAAAGTAGCAACAGTTCATTCAGTAACACCTGGTACCAAATCTTCAATTTCTATTATGATAGTTGAATTGCTTAGAAGAAGATCATCTATTGTATTGCTTGAAATATTAACATCTAAAGTTACATGAATATCAATATTGGAAGTTGAATTGTTACTCAAAACTTAAATCAGAAAGGATATTAAAAAGGTTAGAATTAAATTATTATTAAATTATTAAAATTTATCTTTATTAATTAAATGATTTATTTAAAAAACAAAGATTTACATGCATAGGTTGAAAAACTAGAAAGAGAAAATGTGAATTTGTAAAATAATTAAATCTAATAAAATATATTAATAATAAGTTTTCCAAAGAAACAGATGTTAAAAAAATAAAATAGAAGATTTAAAAAAGAAAATTGATCAGCTCAAATCTGTAGAATTTGAATTTAATCCTATAGTTGTTGTAGAATCAAAGCAATCGATATATTAGAATCTGAAAATTTGCTGAGTTTAGAAAAATATCAAAGAACTTAATCTAAAAGAAGTAATAAAAAGTCAAAACTGATAAAACCAGTTACTGAAGATAAGCCAAAATCAAAAGAAGTGAGAGTAGAAATAAAGGCCTTAATAAAAACCATTATTGATATATATAAACTGAAGGTAAACAAAGTTTTTTCAAGTGATGTAAATAAAAAAATATTACAAAAGTTGATACTTAAATTAATAAAATCCATGGCATATATTTTAATCCCTTATAAAAGTAAATAAATAAATAGTTAGATGTTTTATATTATCATTAGAGAGAAAAATATTGAAAAGCAAAAATTGGAAAATTGGAAGTAGCCAATTATTACTTACATGTAAATAGCTGATTAAATAAAGTAAGATTAATAATATTTTTCATTTATACTATCTTCAGATATTAATTTTTAATAAATATTAAGAAAAGGGTATAAATAATTAAAAGTATATAGTTGTTTGTTGAATGAAAATCAAAAAAAAATTGTTAAATATCAGAATAAATTAACTGATATAATTAAAGAAACAAAGATATATTTATCTGAAGAAAGTGAGACTGATCTGGAAAATCCATTAAAAGAAGAATAAATGTATATGATTATAGTTGATATTTTAAAGAGGTATTTTTTGACAAAATGTTTTATATCAAATAATTACAATATTAATTATAATTATTTATAGTTAAAGAATTTTGTTGAAATATTTGAATAAATATTTGAAATTAATTTAAGCATTCTAGCTAATTTATAAATAATATCATGATAATTCATATTTATATAAAATGAAGTCACTAGAAGGCTTGCCAAATTGAATATATAATTTGGAAGAGATTTTGAAATATGAACAAGAAAACAAAACAGAAAAAGATAAAAAATCAATAGTTAAATCCAAAAAATAAAAAATTACCGAATATAAGAAATTATTAATAAATTCAAAGGGTGAGAAACAAATTGAAAAAAGTATCCAAATAGATAAAATTTGGTGATAGTTAGATTAGAAAAAAAAAAGAAAAATCTTGAAAAATATTTGATAAAGTAAAACTGATTGGAACTAGTTTTAAAAGAGTCAAGCCAAGATCTTTAAAGAAAAAGAAAAATAAGTGTAAGAGGAGAAAGAGAAGCAAGAGAAAAATAATGAATAAATTAGTCAATTAATTTTGTAACTTTTTGCCTAATTTTTTATCACAATATCAATTTTTTTTTTACAATAATTTTTTTGTTAAATTTTTTGTCACAGTATTAAATTTTTTGCTACAATATCAATTTTTTGTTGAATTTTTTACTACAATATACAAAAAATTTTTTTTACTACAATATTGCTGGATTTTGTGTTGAATTTTTTTGTCACAATATGCCAATATTTTTTTGCTGATATTTTACCAATATTTTTAATATCAAATAATAGCAATTATAAAAAATTCATCAATATTTTTATTATTAAAATTTTCCAAATTCAGTAATAATTCGGCAGCCAAATGACATAATTTTGACTAGTATACTATACTTAATTTAATAATTTTAAAGCTTTTTATCTAATTCAAAATTAATATAAAATTTGCCCCGAAATTCTACTTCAACATAATTTTGCCCCAAAAAACTTAATTTCGTCTAATCTCACTTAATTTTGCCTGGTTCTATTAATTCCAGTCAGCCGTCTTAATTCTGGCCAACTTTGTTTTAATTCCGGACAATAATCATGTGAGGTGCATTTCTCTGTATATGTATTATCGTAAAAAAAGTTTATTTCTATCAAATATTTAGTTTCAACCGGTGTAATGAATGTAATTTAGAATTTACTATTAATAAGTATTAATAGCAAAGAGTATATATTTTGAAAGATGATTAATTAATAATAATAATAAATTTGACTCCACAAAAACACCAACCTGATTAAGCAAGATAGTTTTCCGTGAACGTCTATTTAAAAAATAATAAATGTTCGACCATGGTTGACGAAGAATATTGACCATTTCGCATAATTAATGCGATCTATTGCATGTTCTTACTGGCTCCCATAATAACGAGAAGCAGTATACAAGAAGCACGTAGGCAAAGATGAACACGAATGTGGATGTGGAAATTATAACTTGCGGTTGCCAGTCAAGACCAACCTGATTCATGAAACAATGAAACAAATAACACGAATAATGATGAGCATGGTTGAAAGTACGAGAAATTGTTTTCTGAGATAATAATACCAATTGCGTCACTGCAAGGGGACCATTTCTCCAGTGGTTCGGATAAATGAAACGAGAAGCCTCAGTTTCAGTTCCTGTTATCTGCAGTTATTGAAAAATGAGTATACTTATAAACAAACATCGTAAATACGCGAACCAGGAGTAATTTATGATACCCGCGGAAAACTGTTCCGAAGTAATTTGAATTTTGACCAATCTTGTATGGAAAGGAACACAACAATTATTAAAAGAAAAATGCCAATTTCGAAAAAGACATTAAAAGGATGGGTTGACGGTGAAAGATCTTTTGAGCTCATATCTAAAACGCGGGTTTTTCTTTTAAAAAAAGAACATGAGAAAAATTATTCATGATCTGCAATACCCTAAAAAACGGGATCCTGCTATATATATGACTACGTGTAACGTGCAAATGTTAAAATTAAAACCTCTTTAACCAGATATATCTCAAATTCTATTTTAGAACACTAGATTACGCGTTCGGGTGCACGCTTTGGATTCGCGAAGTAATGATTGATAACAATGCGATCCCTTCTTTCAATGAGGTTCGCCTCTTGTCCATAAACCTTTTCATGCGGCCTCCGCTCATTAGAAATAATGCCAGTGATTATAAAGAAGCAAGATTAGAATATTTTATTGAAAACATTTTGTCTATCTATGATATCATATGTCTCGAAGAAATGTTCGAATTTGGTAGCACCCGCCGTCAGAGGTTGCTGGAGGCAGCTTTTAAAGCTGGCTTCGAACATTCATGGACTTCTCCGAGGAATAGTTTATTCAATTTTTCTATCGATGGTGGTCTGGTCATTTTAAGTAGGTTCCCAATCAGAAGTCGAGATCGTATCACTTATCCTTATGGAACTCATAGTGACAGGTATAACCGCATAAACTATGCTGATCATATAAAGAAATACGAGCACGTAAATACAAAAAAAAATTTGTTTTTTTTTTTTAAAGGTTATCGGCCAAAGGTGCTCTTTACGTAAAAATTGAATTGGCAAAAGATCAATTTATTCATCTCTTCTCTACCCATACTCAAGCGTCTTACGTCGCTTCTCCTCCCCTATCCGATAAATCTGTTCTTGTTCGTGAACAACAAATTTTTCTTCTTCGTCAATTCATTGATAAAGCCATCGTGAGTAGGCGATCATCACACGAACCGATCATCCTAGTAGGTGACTTGAACGTCAATTCTCGGCCTCTTTTGGATCCTTCTGATCCTTCAAGTGTGAAGGGAGATAGTCAAGAGTATCTGAATATGGTTAAAATTTTGAGCGGCGAAGGAATACGCGAAGATTCTCATGTGAGATACTCGAATGAAAAGATGATTGGTGTGAGAGACGTAATTAAAGAGCATTACGGAATTCATCCAATCACCTTTGCTGATGTGTTGAAAGACAATGATGGGAAGATGATTCCTAGAGAAGTCATTCTAACTTCAAAAGGTGACCTGTTAGCACAGGCTAGTTTAGACTACATTTTCTTAATTGATGATGATCCTGATGTTGATGATTCGGAGAAGAAAATAAAGCTCGATGTTTTAAGAACAGACGTTCAAGAATTTTTTGTTAAAAACCATCAGTTTTCTCAGTTGTCTGGTATGTGAAAAATATTGATCATCAATTTGTTTTTTGTTTTTTTTGTTCAGCGTTGATGTTGATTGATTTTTAAAATTTATAAGATCACTATGGTATTCGTGCGATTTTAAACGTTGTTTCGTGAACGTCAATCCGTGATGGTTTGTTTATTAGAGATGGGTGTTGATTGTACAACTTTTACTCTACATATTATCATGTATCGTGTAGTATTAAAGAAAATAAAAAAGAAGAAATAGAGGCACGCATTTCACTCAAATAATCACCAAAAAGTTATCATTATAAAGTGTTTGTTGATGCAAACCATCAGATGCATTAACCATGCACATATGTTGGTCCTCTCATGGCTGGTGCATTATAAGGATTTAAAGGATTGGCAATAGGAGCTCTTTCCATGCCGGGTGGAATTCCTTCCGAGTACATTCCAGGTCTATCATTTTTGAAAAAGAATTGTAATGAAAATTGCTTGGAATCAGGGTCCCAGTGCGTGAAAAATTTTCCTTCTCCTTTATCAATTTCTTTGCTTTGCACTTTGAAAGAGATCGTCTCATATGGTTCTGCTGCGAAGAGCAAATACTGATGTGCCTTGTTAGGAGGTTCAATTTTTTGCTCGTAAGCTGACATAAATCGGTGGCGAGGTATAACGTCCAGACCGATCTCTGGGTACTGAATTTGAAATAGCAAGCCAAGCTGCCGAGTAATTGGGTCACGAACTTTGGTCACCTTATACCCCGGTCTGCCAATCTTGACAAGATTTTTTCTCACTTGAATCTTGGCTTGTGCCTGTAATGCTGGCTGGATATTGTTGTTCTCCTTGGCTTCCCGAGCAGCACGACGGGCAAGGTTTGTCTGGTGTTTCTTACCCTGAGTGTGAGCGAGATAACTACCTTCGTTGGTGTGCAAAGTCAGGCAAAGTTTGCATTCATAAGATCCGAGGTGATTTTTCATAAAATACGGATCCTTGTTTAGGTCAATGGTTTCTAACGCAAGTTTACGAAGTCGTTCGCGCCGATCAACGTTTGTCTCCGAGTAACCGGCCACACCGCCGCTACCTACCTTCGAACCTATTCAAAAGAAGTGGGCCATTATAGTGAGTCAGCGAATCTTGCTATCCCCTTTCCTTTCCCACGAACCTGGCCTGTTCTGAAAATCCATGAGTAGTATTTTTTTTGACACCCAATGTATTCTATATTACCTCACACACTAATCTAGTTTTATCATCCATTTTTTGCTATGCAGGGCATTTGTAAACAAACACCGATCACGTGATATTTGAATTTAACGTATACGAAACTTGTTTTGACACAACACACATACAGTCTCCAATTTTTATTTTTTTTTTAAAAAAGGAAAAGGAATCGTCGGTGTTTCTTTTGTATGCCGAAGTATTCAAAATATCGCGAAAATGTCCATCACCATAGAATCCCTTAAGTCCAAGAGAAAAAATGAGTTAAAAGGTGTTTTATTTACCTTGCAGTAATGTCAATCAAATAGTTTGATTGGTAACAATCTCTTTTTTTTTTTTTTTGTTCAAGGAAATGTGTTTATTAATTGATTGATATTATCTCGTCAGACATTGCACAAGGATATGGATTAAATACAAAAGGTTTACGCTGGGAGCTTGAAGATAGAATCAGGTTTTTTATTCACTACGTATATTACCTTTTGCTTCTTACAAGTTTCATTGACGTTGACTCTTAACGCATTGTCCGTACTTTTACAAGAGCACATTTAATAGAAAATGAGGAAGAAATTATAGTTGACAGCGCTTCGGACAGCACCCCTGCCCGTCGCCCAGGTCGTAAGCTGAGCACCAGTAGTAATAGGTCGAAATCCAAGAAACAGAGTTCCCCAAATGGCGGAGGAAGGTTAGTATCGCGAGTCATGTAGTGGTGGATGGTTGGAGAATTACGAACAAAGGCAAACTCAACGTCTTTATATCTCATTTCACTGTACAGAGCGTCCGAGGAGGAATCGGAGGCATCGGAAGTCGAGATCAAACAGGTGACCACAAAACGACAAAACAATATGGGAGATTCTTATCCCTATTTGAATCAGCAATTGACTGTTGGACAATTAATACAGGAGGTCGCCGTCAATACACGGTATCGATCAACAATCATTACCGAAGAAACGAGCACCCAACGGGGTTTGCTCAGAGAAAGTATCACTGGACTAAACAACTATATCCTTCGATTGAGGAAGGTATGAGTTCACATTAAGGTCATCATTAGACGACAGCAGCGCGATTTTGCAACTTACGTTATTATTATATTGTCCTCAGGAATATTCCAACACACGAACATTTATTCAATGCATCATATTTTTTGAACTTAGTGTTTTTTTATATTGCGCAATCGAATGGAATTTGAAGGTATGGCGATTTGTCAATTTACCAGGATTCCATATTCCCATAGAGTTAGTCATTCGATACAAAACCACCCATTATCTTTTATAGATCGCTACCATACCTATCCCATCATTCATGGGAATGGCGGAGTCTTGTGATCTACACGGACCCGATATATTTGTTATCGTTGAATGGCATCGTTTTTGGCGCCCGTTGACAGCATTCCTTATTTATCTACTTTTGATACCACTCGGTTTCTCATATGTGTTTAACCTCGAACCACAACGCCATTCACTTAGTCCCCTAGCATTTTCTGTTGCACAGTGCGGAATTTTCTTGGCCACCGTTGGTCATTTCGATTGGGTCGAAGACGTTCGCGATTTCATCCCGGAAAATTTGATTTACGCCGGTTCCGGTGCCGGAATAATTTTCTCGCTTTACGAGAGCATCTTGACAATTTAAAAAAATTTTTCTTTTTTCGTTATCTTTTTTTTTTTTTTTGGAATAAATTCATCCGACGAAAGTTTTAGGTTTTTTTTTTTTCTTCTTTTTTTTTCTCTCTTAACGACATTCTTATTCCAGCAATACCCCTGATAATCTATTTTCTTTTCATTCAATTTTCATACACATATACAGTATATGCACGTATTTTTACATAGAGGAGGCTGTTGTAAATAAATTTATTCGAGTGAGTACTTCACTATCTTATCATTCTCTTCTTGCCAAGCAACGAGTCATCCGATCTTAATATTTAAATAAACATAATCATAAGAAATGCTGGACTGCTGACTCGCGCAAAGATGACGAAATGCAATGTACTGTACATATGTACTCCAAGAACTTCTTGGTACAAATCTTCTAGTCTTTTTTTCCGATTCTTGCATATTATTATGGTAAGCGGTAACACAAAACTGACACAAATTAATTCTCTTGAGTAAATAATTAGGTATACACAGGTTAAATTTTAATAAAATTATCGAGGGCCAAGATCTCTTAATTTCTTTATATACTTTGCTTAACCACCTCGCTTCAGTCAATCAACGAACTAAAATTTGTTCCCACATACGAGACCCGGTTGCCTGAAATTCGGGCGAGAATAAGTGCAATTCATCCAAGCTGTAGTACTTATTACGTGTCGAACCCCAAACTTTTTTCTTTAAGCTCCGTTACAAAAACTTCGTCAAGTCAGTAACTCGAAAGGACATCGTGGAAAATGAGGTTTTTTGAAAAATCCACTAAAACAATAGTTTCTGAATATCTGGGTAAGTCTTTCTTCCCTATACCAATGCAAAGTAGGACCGGGATCCAATTCTAACTTATCGTTTATCCACCCTAATGAATCGATAGATCAATGTGTTCTTAAGGAGGAGGATGATTGGGGGCTTATAATTTCGGCTTGTGATGCGGTTAACGCTTCGGATAACGGAGCAAAGGAAGCGGCAAAATTCATTAGGAAGAAATTATACAGACAGCCTCCCGTCGTGCAGAACAGAGTTCTAACTGTACGTTGAAGCTGATCGATGTGTTTGGTATATTGATTTCGGTCAAATGCTTAACAGCGATTTATTCATCCCGTTAGGTGTTAAAAGCTATGGCAGATAATTGCGGAGCTAAATTTCGTGGCAAGTGTTTAAATTCCCACCAATCAACCATCCATGCGAAATTAGGTTATCCCTTCTCTTAGCTCAATCGATTTTCTTCTACGTAGCCGAAATTGCATCGAGGAAGTTCTTGGACGAGTTGGAAGTTGTGGCAATCTCTTCACAAACTGATCTTTTCGTCAAACAAAGGTTAATCGGAATATTAGGAGAACTGTCACAAATGTTTCAAGATGAACCGAGTTTGTGGCCGATTTCTGATCTCTATGGCAGGCTCATTGGCGAATCCATTCCACGTCCACGCCAGGTATAACGTTTTAACTTTATATTGGTAACCCTGAACCTTGCCATATCTATCCTCTTTTTTTATGTATTTATAAAAGGTTGAAATCGATCCTCAAAGACGAACAATATCCTCGATTCCGACGCAAGCTATACCGGTACGTGACTAGCTTTCGTTAATTCTAATGTGTGTGACCACCTCATCACGTTCCTTTTTTTTTTTTTTTTTATATACGTATTATGAAGGCAAAGCCATCAATAGAACAGATTATGGATGACGTTGAGCTGGCAAAGAACAATACTCAATTATTTGCACAAATGATTTCATTCACCGATCCCGAGAACGAAGATATTACAAAGAACGAGTTGATCCAGGTGAATTAAGTTTTTGATTAAACTGCAGATAGATAAATCACGCGTGTACAAATTCGTTAAACTCCATTCTTAGGAATTCCGCGGAAAATGTGAAGCGTTAAGTAAGAGGATCATTCAATACATTTCTGAAATGCAGGACGAACAGTGGTTAAGTAAGTTTGAAATAACTTGATACTTTCATTGCGATGCTGCGATCACCTTTAAAGAATAATCCGATTAAATCAATAGGTACTCTAATTTCGACAAATCAGGAAATTATGAATACGTTTAAGATGTACGATGAAATGGTGGAACGAGGACATGTTACAATGGCAAAGAACAAATCGAGGGTAAATTTCACGGAGGTATTCTAATTTAAAAATCAATCTACTCATTCCATCCTACTAACGTGATTCCTTAGGATGCAGCCGCAGGGATCGATTACGAGAATGAGGATCCGGATAATTGCGCCGGAGTTGGTGGCAGGTGATTAAGTTTGTATTCTCCACCAAACCGTGCATGTATGCTAACACTGTTATGTTGACGATTCGTCCAGTGGAACATCACAGCTAGACCCCTTTTCAGATCTAAACGAGCTAAGATCTGATACAACAATTCCTCGAAAGAGTGAAAGATCTAAGGGGTAAATAATACTTTTGTCGACATAATTCCCATTTACTTCAATTACTCACAATCTCACCAAATATTACGCAGCAAAAAGCCCGCGTCTATATATTATGACGAAGACATATTTAATGAGGATGAATCGGATAAGAAAACCCGATCCCAATATCCTCCCAACCTAACCGAATGCAGTCGACCCAACGATAATCGAAATGACATCAATGGACGGCAGGAACACGCGGTCATTTGAATCGAGTGATTGCACATTCCGTTAATTTCAATTTCTAGTTTAACAGAGACCCCGAGTGACCGTCTATATTGCAGATTTTATTTTATCAATATATACATATTTATTAATTTCTGCGCGTCACATCTAAGTTCGTCCACCATTTCACGAATCCCATCGTACTTTTTGTATATGCAAATTCTTCGTTATTTATTCTTGTAATTTTAAAAATTTATAGATTGCATAAAACGTGATTGGTTGTTCATGGTATGTATATACTTAGTATGTACTGCGAGTTTTGGAATTATTTTAGAAGAAAGATATAAGACAATTACTTTTCCCTTTTTTTTTCTCTTCCGAGTTTTACGCACACGACAAAACCAATTAATACATAGTTAAAAATGTACGCGTAACACAAACCAAGCTCTAATAACCAAATTAAATTCTTTCAATTATTATCCACAACTTATTTAGGAAGGATGCCATCCATTGGTCGAGATTACGAATTTTATCTAATTCCTTTAGGAATGAATGTATTATTATCCTGCGTTTGAAACTTGGAGCGAAGGTTGATGTTGTTTATTACTATATTAATGAATATAGCGTTCAGACAAGGATACGATATTTTCTCGATTACATCAATTGCAATTCTTCTCAAGCCCTTTCTCATTCACTGTCATCAACTACTTTGAACCAATGATTATTTGCTCTTGGCGCATGAATCGGCGGTTCTCTAATTTCGCGGACCGTGGTGTTCATTTCCTCCTTGCACTCCAATTCTTTCTTCGATTGCGATTGTTTTTTTTCCTTTTTCAACGTTCTCCACTCTTCCAAGAGTTGATTCCAAGGTATAAAGTCATCGAATTCAAAAGGACGATGTCTAATTGTATAGAGTTTTCTTCGTCCCTCGTTTACTTTGCTTATTTCGCTATCGTTTCCAGTTTCGCCGGTTCCCATTTTCGCCTCACTTGCATTCCTTAAATCTGCAATATCCCAGCCGACCTTAAGACTTTCCAGCAATTTTTCATCCAACTTTGTTGACCAATATATATCCCACGTTTTCCAAATTTTTGGTTGCTCCTTGGGCAACCTCTCAGTAAAAAACTCTCGAAACAGTTTTCTAGCAATAACAATTCTTTTATATATACAGGGCGGAAACTCCTCGGATTTGAATTGTCTATAGAGTGTAATCTCTTCCATAGGTTGCTCCAATCGAAACATATTTTCAACATAAATTTCGAATCTTTTGGCGTCAGTAAGATTTCGAAATCCTGTTATTGCTAGTATTGCATCCCATCTTCTGGCCGGTAGACTACGTTTCCTCTGATCCGGTGCATGAATATAATCGTTGAGTCTTTTGAGTGTACCCTAGTTAAAACGAATGAAAGGAAATTAGGATATTCCATTCCATTCCAAGCGAAATTCTGGTTTTGTAATTCTAAAATACCTCAAAATCTGCGGTAGAACCTATCCTTCCAATTGCCTTCTTCGATGCTTTGACAATAAAGAAACATGGTCTATTGATCCATATGGGTTTATTAAACATTTTTTTTTTTAAAAAAAAAAAAAACTTTCTGATCTACAAACTAACCAGGCACTTTTTATCTTAATATACAGTTAAACCTAGATATAGCGAACCTGTTATACTGTATATCCAGGTTTGACTATATACTGTATATATTATATTGTATTTAGAAAAATAGTTTTATTAAAAGTTTTAGCTATACTGTATACTGTATACTATTTATATTGTATATATATTTAAATCAAATATTGTATGTTTAGAATACAGATAATCCATTGAGTCAGGTGTTAAAAATTAAATTTATTTATTATATTTATTAAATTTTTTTGTTTTTAGTTAGAAATTTATAAATAAAATCTTTTTTAGTTTTTTTTTTTTTTTTTTAATCTATAAACATATTATTAATTAAGAAATAAACTATTAAAAAATATAAAAAAGAAAATTTTATATTTAAATCTTTAAGTTAAAAAATTAAATAATCTTTTTTTACTAAATTCTTTGATTATACTGTACATAAAAAAAATATTTATATAAAAGTTTTTTTATTTTTTGATTAATAAAGTTTTAATACTTTTAAAAAAATTATATAACTTTTTTCACCAATCCTCTGATCACATATAAAAAGATGTTCACAAGAAGTTTTTATACTTCTTTACTAATAAAGTTTTAATACTTTCCTTAAACAACTTGAAGTATGACTTCAAGAATCATCTCTACCCTTTTTTTTTTGTTTACAAATCTCTTCACTCAAAAACTTGACTTCTAATAATCAAGAAAAATCAAGTAACACCTTTGATACCAATGGCAAGAAAGTTTCCAAAGAAAAAAAAACTAACTATGAAATACCTGAAGATCTATTTAACCTTTAAAATGAGAGGTTATAAAGGTTTTTTGTAGTAAAAAGACTTATTTTCTCTCTTTTTGACTATACTATCTTGGTTCTTTTAAAGCTTCTATTTTCATGGTTTTTTATAAAATTTTGTTTATCTCAATTTGATCCTGAATTTTGGATAGCATAAATCCTTACTAAAGATAATTGACTAATATGAAACATATTAGTTTTTGAAATATAAACAAACTCCTATTGATCACATTCATATATTATGATGACGTCATGGATAATTGAAAAGAAAGTTCTGAAAATATTTGTATCCAAAAAACTCAAATCCCTTAATAAAGACTTTTATAATATCAAAAGATCAAGCGATAAATAATGTGAATTGCAAACTTTTATCTCTTATCTAAGTTTCTCAAGTAGTGACAAAACTTTAATGGAAAAAAGCTAAGGTCTAAATGCTTTCTTTGAAATATTCCAATTTAATGCTTACTTAAATAAAAGATCAATTGAATTGATTTATCCGATACTACAGATGATGAAAAAAAAATTTTTTCCAAGATTCAAGTGAAGCAAGAAGACTATTCCAATTAAGCAAATTTCTTTTGAAAAGAGATTATTTTTATTTTTGGATTTTTTTGATAGACTTTAAATTGTATCTTTTTTTCAATCATTTTTTCCTTTTATATTTTTTAACTTAGCAATTCATTAATTTTCAGACAATCAATAGCAACAAACTATTAATAATGATTCTGATAGATAGAGATTATTACCAATCTATTAGAGGAGTATAATATTGTTTCCAAAATCTGATTTAGAATATTTTTATATAAAGATGAGTTAGTTACATTGTGAAAATCTATAAAATATTGTAGATTTACTTCAATTTTTCAATAAAGACAAGTCATTGTGATATGATTGTGAATTAAAAAATATATATATATATATATAATTAAAAAATTTTTAATTTTTTAAAAAAAATTTTTTAATTATAAAGTATTTATAAATTTTTTATTTTTAAAACAAGTTATTATGAAAGTTTTTTATAATAAAAAAACTTATTTTCTTTCTTTATTAATTGTTTATGTCTTTTTAAAATTTTTACTTTATAATTTTTTAAAAATTTTTACTTATTTCAATTTGAATTTAAATTTGAAAATAATATAATTTGTTAGTTATAAGTTTAAGTTTTATAAATAAAAGATATAAAATAAATTATTTTATTTAATAAATTTAAAATAACTAGTATTATCTATAGATCAATAGTATAGTGATAACGTTTTCAATAGTAATTATAATTTTAATTTGAATTTGATTGATCTGTAAATCAAATATGAATCAAATTGAATCAAATTTCAAAATTTTTAATCTGATCCAATTAAGATCAAATCGAATTTTAAATTTATAAAATTATTGGATTCAAATCAAATTCAGATTAAATCTGAATGGATTCAAATCAGATTCAAATCAGATATGAACCAGTTCATATAAATTGTTATATAATTATTTAATTTCATTTAAATTGAACTATCTAAAAAATTAAAATAATGGGGGTTTTTTTAATAATAATATAAAAGGCAAGTTAAAAAAAATCCAATACTTGATCTTTTTTATGATTTTTTAAACATTTCTTTGTGATATTATAGTTTTACTGCTTAATTACTTTTATTATATTCTTTGCTTTTGCTAATTTATTTCTTTTA